TGTGCCCAGCTGTCATGTCTCTACCCCCAGCCACAGGTCCTCCTTGATTGAACCCAGGCTCCACTTACGGAGCTGCATCCTCAGTTCAGAACCAGAGCTGAATTTGATGATGTCATTGACTGATTCATCTGTGCGGGAAGATGTATTTTCGCAGTGTTTCTGACTTTTAGTTCTTTATTTCATGATTTCAGTATCTTTTCAGATACTTAGAGTTTTCATAATTTCTCAGGCTTCAGGAAAGGGCATCTTTCCTTTGTGCTTTTCTGTCTGTAGATTGTGTTTTTAAACTTCTGTTGTTTATGTGACTAAAGGTTACTTTTTTTCATTTGAAAAACTTTCATTTTGGAATAATTATAAACGCAAAATTATCCAGGTGGTGGTTTTTAATCCCAGCACTGAGGAGGCAGAGGTAGGAGAATCTCTTGAGTTAGAGGCCATTCTGGATTTACAGAGCAAATTGAAAAACCAAAAACCAAAACAAAACACAGAAAGTTGCAAAAATAATATTTTGAACCCATCATGCATCTGTCCCCTGCACACTTATGTAACTATAGCAAAACCAAGAAGTTGACATGGGTATGGATTTCACATAATTTACTCTTGAATTTGTTTTTGTTTTTGAGACAGGGTTTCTTTGTATAGCCCTGACTGTCCTGGAACTCAATCTGTAGACCAGATTGGCTCAGAGATCTGCCTGCCTCTTCCTCCCAAATGCTGGGATTAAAGTTGTGGACTACCACCCCCAGTGAATTTTTTGTTTTTAGTTTATGTGTTTGGGTGTTTTTGCCTGCATGTATGTAGTATGTAAATAATTTTTGTGGGTAGTGCTTGCAGAGACCAGAAGAGGACATCAAATTCCTTGGAACTAGAATTAAAGCAAATAGTGAGCTGTTATGTAGGTGCTAGGAGTTGAACTTGAGTCCTAGAAGAGCAACCAGTGCTTTTAACGCCTGAACCATGTCTCTGGTTCCCTTATTTCTAAGTTTTTGCTCAACATTCTTTGCAGTATCTGTGTAGTTCTGTGTGCCTGAATCCTATAGAGCATTGGCTTTCAGCTTTCCTAATGTTGGGACCTCTTAATACAGTTGCTCATGTTGTAGTGACCCTCAACCAAAAAATGATTTTTGCTGCTACTTCTTAGCTGTAATGTTGCTGCTGTTAGGAATTGTAATGTAAATACCTGTGTTTTCTGATGGTCTTGACGACCCCAGAGAGGTCCCAGCTCCCAGGTTGAGAACCACTGCTGCAGAGCTTCAGTAGATAGACACAGTTGCCTCTTTCCTCGCTCCTCCACTTTGTTTCCTGGAAGCTGCTCACCTGCTTTCTGTTTCTAGGTTTTTATCATTTCAAGACTGTTAAACAAAACAAACCATACCATGTATAACCAACCCTTTGCGCCTGACTGCATAGGGACTGTTAAATTATTGCATGTATCAGCATTCTTTTAATATCAGTTTTCACTGAGCAAAAAACATTTGGAGCCGGGCGGTGGTGACGCACTTGGGAGGCAGAGCCAGCCTGGTCTGCAGAGTGAGTTCCAGGACAGGCACCAAAACTACACAGAAAACCCTGTCTTGACCCCCCCCCCCAAAAAAAAAAAAAGAAAAGAAAACCACATTTAGAATGCCTTCAGTTTGGGGATATTTTCTATAAATGTAAGTTTTCATTTTTCTTAGAGAATGTCTGATAATGTGTTTACTGGCTCTGGTTAAATACTTGTTTTTTCATTTTAATGAGAAAGTGCCAGAATTATTTTACTGCGGCTCTACAACAGTAATGTCTGACAGATAAGCTTCTTCACACCCTGCCCACATGACTGCCACTGTCATTTCATTCGGTCATTTGTCTGGAGTATGATTGAGGTTTAGTTTCGCTCTTAGAGAAGAGAAATACTGCTGAATCTTAAATTTGCCTGCACTTACCTGTTGCTTCTGTGCTTTCCAGCATGTTTGTTTCTTTGGTCACTCTGTTGTATTTTTCAATTTAATTTATTTATTTTACAGCCCGACTGCAGCCTCCCCTTCCCTTTCTCCTCTCCTCCCGTTCATCCGGTCCTCTCCACCCCACCCCATCCACTCCTCTTCCACATTCACTCAGAAAGGGGCAGGCCTCCCATGGGTATCAGTAAGGCATTTATATATCACAAGTGCTGGAAGATCAAGCACCGAGATTCTCCTGTGTGCAGGCTGGACAAGGCAATCCAGAATGAGGAATAGGTTCCCAAGAGCCAGCCAAATTACTAGGGACAGCCGCCAAGGAAAGCATCTCCGAACCAAGAAACACAGTGGAAAAATCTAGATATGTTGATGATAAGAACAATACTCCAAAAGCGGAGGGAAATTAATTCAAAATCTCTTAGCTTCCCTCTACCCAGCTCTCCCATCCCCTGCTCCTATTGCCAGGAGTCCCACAGATAGACCAAGGTACACACTGTCATATGTGCAAAGGGCCTAGGTTGGTCCCATGCAGCTCCCTGCTCATTGCTTCAGACTCTGAGTTCCCGTGAGCCAGACTAGCTGTTTCTGTGGGTTTTCCTGTGATGGCCCGACCCGCCTGGCTCCTATGATCCTTCCTCCCTCTTCAGCAGGACTCCCCGAGCTCTGGGCTGTGGGTCTCTGAATCTGCCTCCATCAGTCACTGAATGAAGGCTCTTCGATGACAACCATAGTAGTAGCCGTCACTAATCCGATCTCGGGATGGCCAGTTCAGGCTGTGCATCCACTGCTGCCAGGAGTCTTAGCTGAGGCCGTCTTTGTAGACTCATGCAAGTTTCCCTTGCATCAGGCTTCTACCCAGCTTGTAAAGCCCTCCTTTCCAGTCAGTATAATTGGATATTCATAGTGTCCTTTGGCGAGTTCTTTTTTTTTTTTTTTTTGATTGATTGATTGATTGATTTGTTTATTTATTTATTTTGTATACAGCATGTATGACTACAGGTCAGAAGAGGGCACCAGATCTCATTACAGATGGTTGTGAGCCACCATGTGGTTGCTGGGAATTGAACTCAGGACCTCTGGAAGAGCAATCAGTGCTCTTAACCTCTGAGCCTTCTCTCCACCCCCAAGTTCTTTTTTTAATATATATATAATGCTAGTTTTACAAGTCACTGATCAGATAGGTGTTTTACAGGTATTTTCTGACTTGACTACTGCTTTAACACTGTAGAGGTTTGTCTCTTTGGTTTAGAATTTTTATATAAGCATGTATCTGTGGGGTTTTGTGTTTGATATCCTTTAGTTAACTCTACGGCTAATCTACCTTATTGTTTGAAGCAATAATTGATTGACTCCATAATTGTATTTTTGTTGTATGACTATACCACAGTTGATAGACATGTGTTTGCTGTGAATGTTTGAGTATATGTCTTACACTAGACATGTGTTTGTTTCTCTTGAACACATACAAAGAAGTGAACCCTGGAGCCTTGTGACTGTGTGTGTGTGTGTGTGTGTGTGTGTGTGTGTGTGTGTGTGTGTGTGATATTTAGATTGTACTTTCTTTTGCTTGGTTTTCTAGAGAATTATTTTTCTAATATTTTACTTACAAAATCTTCTGTGTACATTTTAAAACCTCACACAAACGAGTTTTACTATATAGCACTGGCTGGCCTAAAGCTCACAAGAGATCCACCTGCCTCTGTCTCCTTTATATTACTCTTCAGTTGATCACATGTATTATATATGCACAAAGTATTTAACATGTGCTAACCAGTGTCCTGAGTGCTTTACACATATGCCCATGCAGACACCTATCAAACTTTTTTTGACTAATGTGTCCTTATTTCACCTGTTCTTGTCAGTCACATTCCTTAGATTTAAACTTTAGGTTTGCATATTGAAGATGAGGTTTATTGTCTCTTGGCTTATGTTGTTGCTACCTGTTTGTTTTCAAATGCGCTTCTTTTCAAGGCAGTGAGTATGTTGGCTTTGAGAGTTTGCTCTCTTTAAAAATGTTTAACTGAAATAGAATTCCCTCTCTCTCCTCCCCTCCTGCTTCCTCCAGCTACCTACTGGTACCTTTTCCATGCCCCACCTCTCATACCCTTTTCCTTTGTTTTTTGTTCCGTACACACGTTTGTTTGTATGTATGTGTGTGCACAAGCATATATTAATATGACCTGAGTGTGTTGAGATTTTATTTTCTTGATTTATTATCCCTATTATTTTGAATTTATTGTCTTTGGTTTCTTGAATTTCAGTTGCTGTCTTAGGATACTTATGCAGTTATGTGGACTGTTCACTCTTCTGTGAGTCATAAGATAGACTCACCCTTCCTCTGTATTTTACTTTCATGTTTCTGTGTTATGCCCTGGATAATTTCTTTTTTCTTTTTTTTTTTTTTTTTTTTTTTTGGTTTTTTGAGACAGGGTTTCTCTATGTAGTTTTACGTCTTTCCTGGAACTCACTTTGTAGACCATGCTGGCCTCAAACTCACAGTGATAATTTCTTTTTTCTTAATTCTAATATTTTTACTATCTGCAAATGAACTTGTCTGTTGACCTTTTATTTGCTGCTCTGTTTGCATGCTCGAGCTTTTGTTTTTATAATTATTCCTTACAGATTTTCAAAATTGTCTTTTATTTAAGTTCGTAAGTCTAGTTATTTTATGATTTCCATAAATGTAATAATAGCTGAAGGAGCCGGGCGGTGGTGGTGCACGCCTTTAATCCCAGCACTCGGGAGGCAGAGGCCAGCCTGGTTTACAAAGTGAGTTTCAGGAAAGGCGCAAAGCTACACAGAAACCCTGTCTCACAAAACCCAAAAAAAAAAAAAAAAAAAAAAACTGAAGGATTCTGGTTTTGTTTGATACCTTTTTTTTTTTTTTTTTTTTTTTTTGTTGTTGTTATAAGAAGGATACCCTGTCTCCTCAGGTGCTTGCCTATTTTTGACTTCATGCTCTCTTAGAAACACTGTGCTTGAGTTTCTTCTGTGCCTAGGATGAAGATGCTTTCTCGCAGACAGAACTTGAATTTGCTTATGTTGGGTTCTTGGGATTCTTACCACTTGGCTGCTGTGGATGGGCTTGTGTTCTGAGGGTCTCAGGACCGTGTGCAGGGTCATGACCAAAGTCAGCGGCTCCCGCCCTCTGTCCGTTCCTGCTTCACTCTGTTGCCTTCTCTGGTTTCTGGGGGACCAGATTGGTCTCTGGTCAGACCCCTCTTGCTGTTGTAAGTGATTCTCTTCCTCAGGTGGGGTGAGGGGCTAGGGGAGAAGTCCATATTAATTTCAGGAGAGTCTCTTGACGGGTGTAGATATTGTGTCCCTTTTGTCGCATGTGGACACTGGAGCCGAATTCTGGTTTTCTCGGTGTTGGCAGAGAACTTCAGAGACCAGAGAGGTAGAAGCTGTAATGTTCAATTCTCTGGGTTCTTGCTTTTCCTAGATTTTTTTTATCTGAATCATTTATGATACTTTTTTTTATTAAATAATATATTTGTATTCTCGGAGAATTTCATACAACTTAGTTTGATCATAGTCACCCTCATTTCTGTCCCCCACTTTAAACATTTATTTTGGTTATTTTTTTCTATTGTGTGTGTTTTGTTGGTGAGAGTTAGTACAAATTATACAGCTTGCTACGAATGGAAATAAATTTGTTTTCCTCAGTAATTTTGGGAAATGTTCAGTAAAGTAGTTTTCATTCGATGACTAAATTCGGAGGCAATTACAAATTGTGGAGGAACAACTTATCTTTTATATTTATTATAGTACATGTCTGTTTTTACTTGTACCTAATACTTTTCTTGCTTTAGGGGTACAGACATTTCCATCATGGCTCATTCGAAGACACGGACCAACGATGGGAAGATTACTTACCCTCCTGGTGTCAAGGAGATCTCCGATAAAATCTCTAAAGAGGAGATGGTGAGGCGCTTAAAGGTATGTGAACAGTGTGTGGCTCCGACAGCCGGGCAGTGGGGGCTTTCCTGGGGGTCGTCCTGCAGGGCCATGCAACTTGCTTTGCTAGGGTAAAAAAAATTAAAGGCAACCAATGGCAGAGCGTGAGTTTGTAGGAGTAGGGCAGGTAAGGAACAGTGGGACCCTACTGCTACCGGGAGAGTGATTGGCACATATGTGTCCCATGATATTTTCATCCTGTCCACTTGATGCTCACTGAAGTCACCTGCCCCCACAACTCTTCAAGTATGGGAAAAGGAATTTTAGGTATTTCTAGGAGTCCTCGGCTGTAGGTCACCTCCTGGTAGCTTAGTTTTAGAGTAGTCAGAGCTTGACTGATAGCGGTTTTCTCTGCTTCTGGCACACAGTAACAAACCACGATGGATGCTTACCATTGCGTGAGGCATTCTCCTTGACCAGGGCCTCTTAGATTATGTTTGAATAATGCTTCACCTTTTTATTTAGTGCATTAACGGTCCCTGAGACTGTTACCATGTTTAAAGTAGCATTAACAGACAAGGTACATGTGAACCTGGTTGACCAGTTGCTCAAGATCACTTTTCTTTCTTTCTTTTCTTTCTTTCTTTCTTTCTTTCTTTCTTTCTTTCTTTCTTTCTTTCTTTCTTTCTTTCTTTCTTTCTTTCTTTCTTTCTCTCTCTCCCCTCCCTCCCTCCCTCTCTCTCTTTCTCTCTCTCCCTCTCTCTCTCCCCACCCCCACCCCCCCTCTCTCTTTCTTTCTCTTTCTTTTTTTTTTTTTTTTCAGAGCTGAGGACTGAACCCAGGGCCTTGCGCTTGCTAGGCAAGCGCTCTACCGCTGAGCTAAATCCCCTACCCCACAAGATCACTTTTAACTTGAGCGCTTTTTTCCCTTCTGTATTATCTAGACATTTGTCTTGTATAATACTCATTTCTTTGAACTGATGCAAAATATAAAATTATACTTATTAGTGGGTCATATGTAGTATTTCAACATGTACATTCTGTAATGTTTACTGATCTGTATTCTGATTGTCAGTGTTGGAAAACTTTTCTTCATCACTGAAGGTCCAGAAAACCTTACAAAACAGTGATATGTTAGGTTGCTGTGTGGTGTATGCACATGTAAGTGATGCTAATACTACCATAAACTTCACATGAGGTCTGGATATTGTTTACTTTTCCTTCAGCTATTAGAATTTAGCTGTCAGAAATATAGTACTGAAAGAAAAGGTACCTTATCACAGATAAGATACCCATCCACTTCCTGACAAGCTCAGTCTAATAGGAACTTGTGTCTGTCTCATTCAGTAGAGCCAAGCTCAACTCTTTTTATGTATGAAGTGTTTACTCTTTTATGTATTTATCTTTTCTTGACCTGTTGAAGTTTTGTGAAACCAATACATTTATTGTCTCAGGTTTATCCTAGAAATGATATTTACTTATCTGTCATGCTTGTGGAAAAAGTGTTATGAAGACAGCATACACATACAAGCTGGTTAACACTTAGTAACTTTTATGCATACTATTGTCTCAGATATATCTAAAATTTAGAGGTCTCATCTGAGTTATAATTTAGGGCCCCCCTTCCCCTTTTGAGGCCATTCTTGCTGTGTAGCTCAGGCTGGCCTGGAACTCCATATGTAGCCCAAGCTGGCCTGAATTTATAATCCTGCCTAAGCCTCTTGAATGCTGGGATTAGTGATCGTTGTTAATGGGATTTTCAACACTATTTGAGTACACAATAGTGAAAAATTGCTGTTATCTGGGCTCAGCAAATTGGAGTGTTTCATTGTCTTCACGTTCAGTGTTGTGTAATGTGCTTTTATTGTCAGTTGCTTATAGCATCAGCAAGCTGGCTAATGCACATTTTCATCGTTGTCTGTATTTACACCTGCCTTTGTGATTTTTAGCATCCTCCTCCTCTTCCTCCTCCTCCTCCTCCTCAAAGAAATAGAAAATAGATTTAATTTTGGATGATAATACTTTTTGCTATTTATAAATACCTATATAAGCTTTATAAATTATAATTTGTTAACATATAGGTTGTCATTGTTATATAATTTCTGGGTTTTCCTATACCATTTTATTAAAATACACTTCATTTCCCATTCTTGTTTCAAGAGATTGTTAGGAAAAATAATTAGTTCTATGCACCTAACTCTTTATCCCCTCCTGTGTCTTTTTATAGGTACAAAGGTGTTGAGAGCTTACATTTTGAGAATAGTACAGTTTGTCCATGTTGTTCTGTTGGATTTGGCATTGGGCATGGCGAAGCAGAGGGTTGCTAACAGCATTGTCCCCACGACTGCTCCATGTGTTCAGTGTAAATAAAGCATTTTTTACTGCAGAACTCCAGGCCTCCAGCAAGTGGAAACCACAGGCTGTGATGCTCAGTGGCCCTGTTCAGCATTTAGTATGTGTAGCACCACCTAGTGGATGCTGTGTGGCTACCTTTTTGTCGGAGTGAGAGTGAAGTGTGTTCTTTCAGGTTCTACAATTTTCTTGATTCTCATTTGAAGAAAGAATACATTTTGTTGAGTTTTATTTGAAGTAAGGATAGGACAGCTTTAGAGAATCATTTCTACTAATACTAAAGTTAGAGAAAATGTTATAGAATTTAAGCTCTATAAATTCTTATTTAATTTGGTTTCAATACCTCTTTTATAAAAATAATTATGAAGACAGATCTGTTTCTTGCAACCTGTTTCTGTGTAACACATACGTGGGTTATCTCATTGAACCAATGATGTCCATGTTGTATTTTCTTTTACTGTGGCCCAGAAATATTTTTTTTACCTATGCTGTACTGAATCACTTCATGGTAACTGAAGGATGCATTTTTGCTTACGAATACATCTTTGAAATCCTTTAAAACAAGTGTTGTTGTTTTAATTTTTTAAATTATGTGTGTCTCTAAGCTGAGCATGAGCACACATGAGAATGCAGTGCCCACAGAGGCCAGAAGAGGGCGTTGGATCCTTAGGCTTTGGAGTTGCAGGTGATTGTGAGCTACCTCATGTGGGAGCTCGGGAGGAGCAGCACATGCTGGGATTGTAGAGCCGGCCTTAAGCCCCAGACATTCCTTCTTGACTCTGCTTTCATAGTCTTGTGGAGAGGCTGAAATAGAAAAGTCACAGCTTGTGTGGGTTAGTGGCTAAAATGATATATTGTTGCTATAGCAAAATACTCGGCAAAAGCAATTTTAGGAAAAGAGAGTTTATTTGGGGCTCAGCTTGAGGGTACAGTCCATTATAGCAAGGGAATGCCTGGAAACAGGAATGTGAGGCAGTTGGTCACATTGCTTCCACACTTAGGAAGCAGGGAGATGAATATAGCTCTATACTGTTTTTCCTTTTCATTTAGTCAGGAGCCCAGGCCACCCACACTCAGCAATGGGTCTTATGTCTGTAGGAAATAGTCTCATAGACACTGCTAGAGGTATGTTTCCATGTGGTCCGAATCCAGTCAGGTTGATAGTGAAGATTAACCGTAACACATGGAAACTGAAATGTTCATACTAGGGTTTTCTTAGGATTAGGACTATTAGAAAAAAGGAGAAAGGGATGTGATTTTTAAGCACTATAGAACTCTTACTATACTTGTACAAGTGAGACAACAAATCTCCACAGATATAGACCTTGAATAATGGCCACAGCATAGGGGGAATTTGAAATTTAAAGATATGGACAAATGACAAATACTTGCTTTAAACCAGTGGTTCTCAATCCATGGGTTGTGACCCCTTTGTGGGTCACATGAACCTTTCACAGGGGTTGCCTAAAACCCTTGGAAAACACAAATATTTACATTACAATTCATAACAGTAGCAAAATTACAGTTGTGAAGTAGCAATGAAATAATTTTATGGTTGGGGTCACCACAACATAGGAACTGTATTAAAGGGTTGAAGCGTTAGGAAGGTTGAGACCCACTGCTAAAGTTAAGTGTGTATACATATACACACACACACACATATATATATATTCTTTTTGGGTTTTGCTTTGTAGCCCAAACTAAACTTGAAATCATTTTCCTCCTGCCTTATCCTTCTGAGACTTGGGATGACAGGCATGTGCTACCGTTCTTGGTTAAAAATACTTTATACTTGAGTTATATTTTCAAGATTGTTCACCCTCCCCTTGTAGAAGGATCTCACTCTAATCTGTTCTGATGAAAGTGTATTT